AGGAGAGGAGCTGGATGTGATTGGGATGGGGATGGTGACGACTATAAGAAGTACCTCGGACTCTCTGAACCCCCCCAAAGGAACCATGATCGACACGGAAGGGGACTTCCACGTGGCCGTCTCGTTTCCGACAACGAGGGGCGGCAAGCTGAAGGGCATGTGCGTAGAGCTGTCTCAGGACCCCCTTACAGAGGGCCCCCCTGCCCTGCTCTCCTGGACGTCACCGGAGGCCTCCAGGCCACCAGACAGCCCCAGAGGCTTGCAGAGACCAAGGGAAACCCAAAGTTAGGGAGGAAGACGTCCCAGAATCCCGATCTGCGAACCTTGAGGGTCGGAAGGAGGAGAAGGAGTAGGTGGAGGGGGAAGATGAGGAGGGAGACGGGGAGGATGAGCGAGGAGGATAAGCGAGGAGGAGACGGGAGGAGGAGGAGGAGGAGGAGGAGGAGGAGGAGGAGGAGGAGGAGGAGGAGAGGGAGGTGGAAGTGGAGTGGAGGAGGAGGAGGGAGGGGAAGGAGGACGAGGAGGAGGAGAGGAGGAGGAGGTGGCGGAGGAGAAAGGAGCTGGAGGAGGAGGAGGCGGACGAGGGGCAGGAAGGAAGGCGGGAAAGAGGGTGGGGACGATTATGATGATGATGATGATGATGATGATGATGATGATGATGATGATGATGATGATGATGATGATGATGATGATGCTGATGCTGATGATGATGATGATGCTGATGATGATGATCATGATGATGATGACAATGATGATGATGATGATGATGATGATGATGATGCTGATGATGATGATGATGACGTTGATGATGATGATGCTATGATGATGATGATGATGATGATGACGACGGTGCTAATGATGATGCTGATGCAGATGCAGATGCTGATGCTGATGATGCTGATGATGATGGGGCGCCTGGCACGATGTAGACCTGTGCAGTTTAAGCGTTTTCCAGCTGGCGTCGGAGAGCGCTTGATCGATTCAGTTCGTCCTTTCCAGTGCTCTCGCATGGAGATTATAATTGAAAAAATAGTCGGTTTTACGGAAGCAAGGCAGATTTGTTCTTTCTAAGTATGAATTCTTTATTCGTGTACGGGAAGTTATATGATATTTTATGCTAGCTCTACATTGCCACAAGTTCATCTGATTTCTAAATGATCTAAGGTGTCGGGTGCTGGTGCCAGTCGGACATGGCTGATATTTTGGAAGCCTATGAGTTGATGGAACGTATGGGAATAGCAGCACTTGCTATTGATGTTATATGGGGCTGTATGGGATGTATAGAAGTTGGAAGGTGTTTAGCGCCTTGGACTTTGCACGCGATCATCATACCTACTCCTCCCTCCTCCTACCTTCCCCCTCCTCCCTCCTCTTCCCTCCTTCGCGTCTTCCTCCCTTCTCCTTCTCCTCCTCCTCCTTCTCCTCCTCCCTCCTCCCTGCCATCCTCCCCTCCTCTCTCCTCCCTCCTTCTCCGTCCACGTCACCTCTCCCCCTTTCTCCCTCCCCCTCTCTCCTCCTCACCAGCACCAGCCCCCCCCCCACACCGCAGCTGACGGAGGAGCAGGAGGAGGGGCGGAACGCTCCAGAACCGCGCAGGGGCGAAGTGCTCCAGCCAGGTACGGGGCGAACCGTTTCATGGGGGCGTAAAACTCCAGATCATGGGGGAGCGAAGTGCTCCAGCCAGATACGGGGCGAAATGCCACAGAGGGCGTAGAGCTCACACCGGTCGGGGGAGCGAGACACTCTCACGGTGACGCGGGGCGCAGTGCTCATGTGAGCACAGCGTTCAAAACCACATGACCTCCCGAACACGGTGCACGATTGCCTCTCTCCCTCGCCTCCCTCTCTTCCTCCATGCATGTCATTCTCCGTATTGTTGCTGTTGTTCTCCCTTTCTCTCTTATCCCTCTCTCCCTGTCTCTCTCTCTCTCTCTCTTTTATTTCTCTCTCTCTCTCTCTCTCTCTTCCACTCTTCCTCGCTCTCGCTGCCATTCTCTCTCTCTCTCTCTCTCTCTCTTTCCCGCTTTCCCTCTCGCCCTCTCTCCCTCTTGTCTCCTTCCCTCTCCCCTTTTTTCCCTCCTTCCTCTCCCTATCTCTATCTCCCTCTCTCACCGCTCCCTTCTACCTTCCTGCCTGATCCTGACCCTGACCTTCCGAGTCCTCGGTTCGTCCCGCCGCCTTGCTCTGCCGCCTCCTCTTCTCGTCCATTGACTGCCGTCGCTGCCGTCTTCTCGTCCTCGCTCCCTCTTCCGCGCCAGCTTTCCTTTTGCGATGCGACCTATTCTGGCCCGAGCCTGCCTCGACGCAGAAACCGCAGCTCAGTTTCACGAAACTGCGCGGCGGCAGTGCCGATGATGTGTCGCCTGGCCTGTTGGCGCGCCGCCAACGCGCAGTGCCCCTCCCCCACCGAACCGAATGCCTGCATGACGGCGGCGGCGACTCAATTGGGCGTGGCTCGCGACGGGGTCGGCGGCGTCGCGCTTCGTTCTTGGGCCCGGAGGACTTTTCCTGGGACTTCCGCAATTGCCTCCACTTCTTGTTCCGCGAGCATTTTCAGTGGGCCTGCGACGAGCAGCGGTTCGACGCCCAGGTGGTCCGCGTGATCGGCGGGAACGTGCGGAGCTCGAAGGCGGACGGCGAGGCTCTTGCAGCCCGCCGTCCAAACCGCTACGCTGCGCGGCTCCACCGCGGTCGAGTTCTTCTCTGTGGCTGGCGGCTAGATGTCATGCTGCCGCGTCGGGGACGTGTCCATGCAGGCGTGGCGCAGGTCGGCGCTCGCGGGGAGCTTCGCGCGCCGGTTCAGCGCCGGGGGCCACCGCGTCCGCATTGCCGCGGAGTCAGGCGAGGTTGCCGGGCCGAAGTAGGTATCGTTCGTCCCTGGATTGTGCGAGGCTGGCGACGAGTCGGGGCGCTGCGTGGCGCGGGCCGATTTTCGGCGTCGTCCAACTGATCCCGCGCGGCGTCGCCATATGGTTGTCTGACGTCATTGCTTACCACGTCCAGTTCGATACTTATAAGACCCGTTTCGGGGCCTCCTGTAGCCTCCTGGACCCCGCCTGGGGCTTCCTGAAGCCTCTTGGGGCTCCCAGGGGGACATCTGACACGCGGCCCCCCAAAATGGGGGGGGCCACAAGAGCAGGACAAATCGACAAATCGACACCGGACGTGCGTTAACTTGACACGTTCTGTTAAGGGGGCCTCCTTGGGCCTCCTGGGAGCCTCCTGGGGATCTCCTGGAGCTCTCTGGGGCCTGTCCTGGGCGTCCTGCGGCCTCTTGGAGCTGTCTGGGGCCTCCTGGGGCTCCCGGGGTCCCAGGGAGGATTTGTGACATGTGGTCTTCTGGGCTCCCAGGCTGGGCCACCTCTTGCGCGGCGCCCGGGAGTTCAGAGTTACGGCGACGCGGCAGATGCCGGCGAAAAAGCAGAACAAGAAGGTGCAGCCCAACGTTCGCCTGGAACCGGCTGGGATCAAGCACGTCGCCGCTCTTGCCCCTTCGGCCAGCCGGGGTCGCTCCGGAGGTGCACGCGCTTCTCTGTGCGCCTCCCTGGTCTCCGTCGAGCCCATTGATGTGGGGGGCCGCGTCGGTGCTGGGGCGCGTTTGGTCATAGCCGATTCCGCCAGTGTGAAGGGGGGCGCGTCCGGGTGCAATCGCGGCCTGTCCACGCTCGCCCACAGGTCCGCGGCCGCGATGCACCTCCCAAGCGTCCCGCCCAACGTCGTGGAGGTGTCCAGCGGCCTCTTGCCGCCAGGCTCCGCGAGCAACGCCTACCGCGGCATCTCTTGGGCCTGCGCGAAGACAGTTTACGGGGGCGGCGTCCAGAGTGCCGTGGCGGCACAGAAACACATCGCCGAGCACGCCATCGGGATCCTCGACCAGGCGCTCTTCGAGGCGCAGATCCACGCGCCGGCCATCGACAACAAGTTTGCGTGGAAAACCGAATCGGAGATCTTGAGCGGCGACAGAGTGCGCCTGACGAGGGCCGGGGCCGCGCTGTAAAGCGCAACCTTTTCGATCGCGGAGCTCGCGAACGTGCAGCTGAACGCGGCCCTTAACTTGCGCGAGACGGCTGCCCAGACACTCGTTGCCCGCGCCAATCAGCACCCGACCATCATCGCCGTGGCCGCCGCGAGCCCGGGCGAGGCGATCGCGTCCAGAGCCGTCGCCACCGCCGATCCGCAGCCCGAGGAGAGCGCTGACAAGACGACCGCCGTCACGAAGCGCCCCGCGAGGAAGGGGGGTGGCGTCGACGAGATGACCGCAGGAGACTCCCGCTGAGTTCTAACCGCTCCCCGCGCACACCTCGCGCTAGTGGCTCTCTCGCCGCCGCCGCCGCGCAACCTACTTGCAGCGCGCCGGTGCCCCAACAGAAATCATCGTGTCCAGGCGTCGCTGGCGGCCGTGCTTTCGGCGGCCCGCGGGCGAGGCACCATCGGGCCCGCGTGGCCCTGCGAGCCCTGCGGGACCTCCGACCCTTACAAGCGCCACCATTCTCGACAACCCTTCCGATCCCCAAGAGCCCCAACAGGCCCTGCGCGCCCCCTGCGGGCCTACGAGCCCTTCGACGAGCCCTGCGAGCCCGACGGGCCTGCGAGCCCCGCGGCCCTACCAGCCTTGCGAGCCCCGCGAGACCTACGGGCCCGCGAGCCCCGCGAGCCCCGCGGGCGCGCGAGCCCTCCGAGCTTCGCGGGCATGCGAGCCCCGCGAGCCCTACAGGTCTACAAGTCTACGAGCCTTGCGGGCCCACGGGCCCTACGAACCCCGCGGGCTTACGAGCTCAGCGAGCCTTGCGGGCCAGCGAGCCCTAGGGGCCCTACGGGCCCCGCGGGCCCAGCGAGGCCCACGGGCCCCGCGGGCCCGCGGGCCCGGCGGACCCGCGAGCCCTGCGAGCCCTACGGGCCCAACGGGCCCGCGAGCCCTGCGCGCCCTGCGGGCCCGTCATCCCGGCGGGCGCTGCGAGCCCGACAAGCCTTGCGAGCCCTACGGGCCTACGAGCTCTACGAGCCCTACACGCCGACGAGCCCTGCGAGCCCCGCGGGCCCACGGGCCCCGCGGGCCCACGAGCCCTGCGAGCCCTATTCGCTCGCGGGCCAACGGGCCCAACGGGCCCGCGAGCCCTGCGCGCCCTGCGAACCCGTCATCCCGGCGAGCGCTGCGAGCCCGACATGCCCTGCGAGCCTTGCGGGCCCGCGAGCTCTACGAGCCCTACATGCCGACGAGCCCTGCGAGCCCCGCGGGCCCTGCGAACCTTGCGAGCTTCACGAGCCCTACGGGCCTGCGAACCCTACGAGCCCTGCGAGCCCTGCGAGCCCGACGGGCCTACGAGCCCTACGGCCCCGCGAGCCCTGCGCGCCCTTCAAACCCATTATGCCGGCGAGCCCATGGGAGCCCGACGAGTCATCCGAGCTCAGAGGCCGCGCGGGCCCTGCGAGGCCGACGGGGCCCGCGAGCCCTGCGAGCCCTGCGGGCCTGCGCCCCCCCATGCGCCCCAGGGGCCCGTGGCTCCCATGTGCCCCGTGCGTCCTACGACCCTTGTTTGCCGACGAACCCCGCGAGTCCCACAGGCCGGGTGAGCTCTGCAACCCCGAAGGCCCCGCGCGCATTGCGAAGCCAGCGAGCCCCGTGGCCCCTCTGAACCCCGCGACGGTGCGCGCGCCGTGGGCCCTGCGTGCCCAGCGAAGCCTGCGACCCCCCCCGGCCCCGCGAGTCCACCACAAGCCTTCGAACCTCATGGGCCCCGTGGGCCCCGCGAGCCCGACGACCCCCGCGAGCTCACGCTTCGCGGGCCCCGTGACTTCCGTGAGCCGCGGCCGACGAGAAATCGCTATGACCCATGAAGCCCCGCGAGCCCTGCGAGCCCCCATGAGCCTGTGAGCCCCGCGGCCTTACGAGCCCGACGACCCCCGCGAGCTGACGCTTCATGGGCCCCCCTGACTTCCGCGAGCCGCGGCCAGCGAGAAATCGTTGTGGCCCTTGCAGCCCCGCGAGCCCTACGTGCCCCCGTGGGCCCTACGACCCATAGCAAACAAGTCCCACAGGTGGTCGCAGCGAGTTTCCCGGGCGCCATGCGACCAAGATTTTTCTCGGCGAAGCGCAGCGAGCCGGAGTGCATTGTGTTTACACGCAAATGTACATATATACACACGTATGCATATACATGTCTGTATATGTATATGTATATGCATATGTATATATATGTATATATATATATATTAATATATATATATATATATATATATATATATCAATTTTCTCTGTAGATATGTCGATTATTATATCTCTCTGTCTCTCTCGCCCTCCTTTTCGTCTTCGCCCTCTTCTTTCTCTTTCTCGCCCTCCTCGCCCTCGTTGTGATGCAGTCTGCAGCAAGGAAAGGGGGGGGGGCGGGAGGCAGCGGAAACGAGGTGGAGGGATGATGATGTTGTTCGCATTCCAAAGCGATGCAAGCTAGCTGTTTCTATGCGTCCATAGAACATTCCATCGACGAGTTTATCAGAAGTGCTGCTATTTCGATGCGTTCCATAATTTCATGCGTATTTCAACATATCAACCGCGGCCGAGTAGCACCACCCCTTCGCGCCTCGATGTTTTGGTGTGTGAAAATCGTACGGACTCATGTTTTTTTCCCAGCCATCCTGTGGGGCGGGTCCTCGTTTTGAACAGACGGTGCCCCGCGTCTCTCCTCCTTTTTCCTTCCTCCTCCCTCCTTCCTCTCCTCCTCCCCCTCCTCCCTCCTCCCCCTCCTTGCCTCTGCTCTCGGCGCGCCTCTCACGTGTTTCGTAGCCCCATAGGGAACTCCACCGGAGGCCCCACTGGGGGTGTTCGCATGCGGTTCCCCCACCCAGGGCAGCGTTTCGTGGCCCCATAAAAGGGGGCTCCACCGAAGGCCCCAGTGGCGCAGTCCGCATGCGGTTCCCCCACCCAGGGCAGCGTTTCGTGGCCCCATAGGGAGCTCCATCGAAGGCCCCAGTGGTGGTGTTCGCATGCGGTTCCCCCGCCCAGGGCAGCGCTTCGTGGCCCCATAGGGAGCTCCACCGAAGGCCCCAGTGGCGCAGTTCGCATGCGGTTCCCCCACCCAAGGCAGCGCTTCGTGGCCCCATAGGGAGCTCCACCGAAGGCCCCAGTGGGGGTGCTCGCACGCGTTTCCCCGCCCAGGGCAGCGTTTCGTGGCCCCATATGGAGCTCCACCGAAGGCCCCAGTGGGGGTGTTCGCATGCGGTTCCCCCACCCAGGGCAGCGCTTCGTGGCCCCATACGGAGCCCCACCGAAGGCCCCAGTGGGGGTGTTCGCATGCGGTTCCCCCACCCAAGGCAGCGTTTCGTTGCCTATATTGGGGGGGGCTCCGCCGAAGGCTCCAGTGGGGGTGTTCGCATGCGGTTCCCCCACCCAGGGCAGCGTTTCGTGTTTCGGTGGAGCCCCAGTGGCTGCTCTCGCATGCGGTTCCCCCGCCCAGGGCAGCGTTTCGTGGCCCTATAGGGAGCTCCACCGAAGGCCCCAGTGGCTGCTCTAGCATGCGGCCCCCCCGCCCAGGACAGCGCTTCGTGGCCCCATAGGGAACTCCACCGAAAGCCCAAGTGGCGCAGTTCGCATGCGGTTCCCCCACCCAGGACAACGCTTCGTGGCCCCATACGGAGCTTCACCGAAGGCCCCAGTGGCGCAGTTCGCATGCGGTTCCCGTGCCCAGGGCAGCGTTTGGTGGCCCCATAGGGGGTTCCACCGCAGGCCCTAGTGGCGCAGTTCGCATGCGGTTCCCCCACCCAGGGCAGCGTTTCGTGGCCCATGGGGAGCTCCACCGAAGGCCCCACTGGCGCAGTTCGCGTGCGGTTCCCCCACCCAGGGCAGCGTTTCGTAGCCCC